AATAGTTGGTGCTATAGATGACAACCAAGTTGATATAGTCATCCTCAAATGCCATTGACATGTATCTTACTCTAACCTGATTCTGACTGTTAGTTGAGAAGTTTCCTGTACATAATTTTAGCAATAAATCAATTAATTTAAACCTTTGTATGTGGATTTGGTATTTCCACACCTGGCAGTTGATGCAATGGTTCTATTCACGGCTGTTGTTGGATTAGGGTTTAGGGCATTTTAGTGTATAAACAAGATTCATTTTCACTTTTTCTGGAAAAAGAACGGAAAAGCCGCTTCAGGAAGAAAAAATGGTGGAGTGAAGATGGCTCCACTTAAAGCAGATCTGATAACCCCAGTAAAACTGTAGAACCAGTGAGTAAACTGGTTCTTCAAAATATCTCCAGACACATGTGCTTGAGGAGACATGAGATTGCCTACAACTGCTCCAGGCAGCTGCTCCTTGAGGAGACTGTAAAGTGGTATTAAGGAGTCTGCAGTGGGTTTAGAGCTCTCGGAGATGAGGAAATAGCTGTCTTGCTCAAAGTTGCTTGGTCAGCAACTTTGAAAGGACACTAAGTTTGATGTTGATCTGTGACCATAATAAAAATTATCTAACACTAAGTTTACCTAGTTTGTTTTCCAATCATTTTAAAAAAAACCTCTTGGTAATTTCTTTATAGCTATTAGAAACCTTTGNAGCCAGATTTTCAAGGACTTCTAGAACCCCATCAGTGTGGGAGCTCGGATGTAGATCTCATGGGGAGAGAGGGGAAACCTCATTCTAGAGAGCATATGTTATTACAGAGGAAGCATGCTTCTTGGGTCTTGATTGTTTGATTGTACTGGTGAGGCAGAAACCACAGAAATATTCTGTTCAGCCTGTTTCTGCTTCTGCCAATTAATTACAAACTGAAAATTATGACTATGGTAGAAGACCTGAGTCATGCCAATGACGAAGAAAGGGATAAGTCAAATTTGCCAACTAGTTATGCTAATCATCCTGGTACCCGAGGAATCATAAAGGCAGGAAAGCTACAGATTTCACAAAATCGTTCTTCCCAATCCTGTCCAGAAGACACTTTTTCCAATGTTCTAACCCACCCTGGCACCCTACCGACCCAGTGAAGTGATGATCTTCAGCAGGAGATGACAAGCTTTTTACACAAGCACATTGACATTCCTAATACCCAATATATTCACTGATTAGAGACAGCAAAGCACCTATGCCACAATGAGAAATCAATAGTCATTCTTTTGAATCATGCCAAACCTTCACTGCAGAAAATATATGGGACAGATTAAATGTTAAGTTTTAAAACAAATTTCCTGTTTCCTAAGGCTAAGATTAGACTCTCTGTATATATCTAAAGTTAGGAGGGAGGTTTATATAAGTGCTTTGTGAACAGAACTTGTGACACCAATGTCAACAGTAAGTCTTCATATCTTCCAATATTTATACCTAAGTAGGAAAAGAAATCTTATACAGAAGTGAAATTATGGAACTTGCAGTGCAATGGAGAACAATCAACGAAGTCTATTATTGTCTGTTGCTCTCTACTCAATTGCTAGTCAGGTAGAATCCATTTGCACGTAAAAGTAGTAGAGAGAAAGCAACATTCAGAAAAGAGAACAATAGAAAAGAAACATGTTAGGAGTTGTCATAGTCAAAACTCCATATATAGTATTAGGAAAAGTTTTATAATGTGTATTTCCCTATTGTTAATTTGCAAAAGGAACAGTAATAGGATAGAAAAAAATGTGCAAAACTGATATGGACCTTAATTAAACTGAACTGTGTATCCCTAATTAGAAATATTTATTAAATATGGAATAAAAACTGTTCAGGTAAATAAATATTACTCTGAAAACATGTTCTCCACTGGATTTTAATTTCTTTCCTAAATATCGGGGGCACTTTCATTTGTTAAAGAATCTAACATCNATCCTGGTTTATACCATTGAGACTAGGAAAGTCATTACAAAGAAAACAGCACAAGTGCAATGCCAAGCTACAGTTAATTGAGAACAGAAAGATGGGATAGAGGTAACAAAGGGTCAGACAATGTCTGTCTACATTGTCTCTTACCCTCTGCTTTGTCATATCTCTCTATGCAATTTAATTCAATGCAATTTGAAAATGTCAACATGATCCTTAATATTGTGAAAGTGAGTGCTTCACTCCGATTTGGTAAGCAGGTAAGGGAACACTTACTGAGTGAATCAAATGCATTGATTGTTGTAATATCTTTATTGAGATACAATTGTACTAGGTTCTTTATTATCAAGATACTAATATTTTAGCTTTGGAATTGGAACTTTTAAAACATCCTGGGAGACTCTCTTTGCTGGGAAATAATAAATGAAATAGCATACTAATTTTCCTGAACCTGTTGTTCTGCTAGACCTCTCTTTGAAATGTGATACTTTTTTTGCATTTATACTTCAAAGATAACTTTACTTCCATGCCATTGCCACCATATCAGATTGTTTATTGAGGCCTGGATCTTTTGTTATGTTAATAAGAAGGGCTAATTCATTAAAAAAAAATCATTATTGGCATATTGAAACATCTAATGAGCTTTCCTCTCATTAGATGAATCTTCTACTAATGGGATGCTATAGAAATCCCAATATAGATAGTTGATGTTCAAATGTAAGTTTGTCCTCCCCTCCCCCCCAAAAAAACTCTGAAATTATTGAAATAGATGTGTGAATCTGTTTTAATTATTTATTAATATGTCTAAACAATAAGTTTGCTTTACGCATTTAGGAGAGATTCTAAATATTGAGGGATCAAAGGCAGCCAACTCACATTACCCCTATAAGTATTCATTGTTTTTTCAATTGTTTTGTCATATCTGAATCTTCATGACTGCTGGACAGTAATTTGTCACAATTGCCTGATAGCAACTGTGTCTTTGAATACTTGTAAAGTGATTCTTGTGTTTGTCAGATATAGTGTCTAGCTGCCTTAGTTCTTTTGGCTTCTTTTTCTAATTGCTATAGATTTTTCCCCAATCACCCAAATTTTCATACCCAAAATATGTAAGCTTTAGCTTCATTATTGGCACATCTACTGAGCTGTCTAGTTTCACTTCATCTCATATTGAATGACTTGTTCCTCTTGCTGTCCAAGACACTCCCAACAATTTTCTCCAGCACCATAGTTCAAAGGCATCCAGGGTTATGTAAAGCTCTGAAGGATGATTTGATTTGACAAAGCTTTAGTTGAATTATCCCATCAAAGCAGATTCACAAATCGAAGCAGAGATGTACTGTGAAGCAGTGAACTGAGTGTAGTTGCTTTGAAGTGCTTCGAAGCCTTTTAGAGCATTTTGCAGATTTGATAGCATTTTCAATTCTATATATGAAGAGTGCCAGGGGAGAGTTTAGTGATGTGAGGGGCTCTTCGATATTAAGATGAGGAGCCAGCCAATCAGTTTAGTAGCTCATTAATTTTTCTGCCATTCAGAGTTATTTTGGGTGGCAGGGCTGATATTGCTTCAGTTCTCAGCTTCTTTAATGTGACCAACCACAAGTATAGCTTTTCTCTTGCTTGGCCTAATAGAATATTACACTTCTGTGTTGGCCCTGCCAACACAAGTGAGTCTCAACGCTCAGCATGCTAAATATGGGGCTATGTTTTTATTCTGTGCAATCTGAGATACTTTTCATCTCTTGAAAATGAATAAATAAGTGCCAGGCTTACAGTTACAGGCACTGCCCCCAACTTTTTAAAGTCTCAAAATAGGATGAAAAGCAAGGCTACATGTGCCACTTATGTAATGCCAGCTTTATTTCTATGTCATTATATTTAATTTTTTATTTATTTGGTCTGATTTTAACTTTAGGTCAATTCCAACTGAGTATGGGTGGTTTACAAAGTAAAAAAAACCAAGTAAATATAATGCAAGAAACATTAATCCCAAAAGCATTACAAAATAGCACTCCAGACAACAAACCAATTTGAAATGGTAGGAGTGTCTATACAATCTACCCCAAGACCTGAGAGAATATTCAGTATTCCAACCTGGAATACTGCATCCAATTTTGGTCACCACATTACAAAAAAGAAAGATGTTGAGACTTTGAAAAAATTGCAAAGAAGAAGAACTAAGATTAAAGGCCTGGAGAAAAAAACATGAAGAATGGTTGCAGGAATTTGGCATGGCTAGTCTAGAGAAAAGAAGGACTGGGATGACATGATAGCAGTATTCTAGTATTTGAGAGGCTGCCACAAATAGGAGGGGGTCAATTTATTTTCCAAAGCACCAGAGGGCAGGACNAAAAAACCCAGGGGTATTCAAACTTGACAGCTTTAAGACTTTAAGGTTTAGATAGGACTCTTAGAGGCGGGAGGGGCGATTGGTGAGCCAGCCAATCAGTGAGCGGCGGGCGGGCAAGCGTGGTGTGGACGGGCAGGGTTCTAAACAGCACAGTAGATTGGTGGAACCTCTTCTATAGAACAGGTTAGAACTGGCAGGAACCCACCCCTGGTCCATCCCCACGGAATCAAAATTTGGATGTTTGGCCTGTATTTATGATGCAGTGGTGGGTTTCAGCTCCCATTGCAACCGGTACACCTCATGCGCACCCACCACCTACAACGCTCCAGCTGCTCGGCGGAGCATCGCGCAGGCGCCGTACACTGTGCCTGCGTGTGCAGACAGCCCGTTTCCTTCAAATACAGGTAAAGGAACGAGGGCGGGCGTGCAGGCCCTCCAAAGCACCGTTCCGGTACAGTGGCTGCTGCTTCCGGCAGTCACCGGTACATGTGTACCAGGGCGTACCGCCTGCAACCCACCACTATTATGATGGTTATAATGTCTCGAGGTTGTGTGACTACATTTTGTGACATTATCTTAAATTATCTTCTCTTTAAGGGTGTAGTATAGTGACAGCAGCAAGAATAACATATGCCCAGAATTGGAAATTAGACAGCATACCCTCTGAAAATACGATAATTTAAAAAATAATGGACTGCGCGGAAATGGTTAAATTAACTCTTAAACTGCAAGATAAAGAAGATAAAGAACACTATACAGTATGGGATATATGGTATCAGTGGTTAGAGTATAGAAATAATGAATGATAGTAGGGTATATGTTATATAGGTTATAGGAATTATAAATGTGAAGAGGAAATTACAAATGTAAATCAAACGGAAAATATGTAAGATGATAAAGAAAATGGGATATACCGATGTCTTAGGAAAGGGAAGAAATGGATGTTGAATTTGGTTTTTATGTTTCGTTTTGTAAAAAGTTTAAGAAAAATTATTTATTAAAAAGAGGGTGTAGTAGAGATGGCAAACCTTTTCTTATGGCCTGCCAAAATTGGGCGTGTGTCCACTCAATCTCCCCCTCCCCCCCGTGCATGTGCATGCAACCCCTCCCCAGGCTCTAGAGGCTTTCCTAAAGCCTGGGGAAGACGAAAACGGTCTCCCCCGGCCTCCTGGACGTCCTCCGGAAGCTGGAAACGTATCATTTCCTAACTTCCGGTTGGTCTGTCGGAGCCGTTTTTCACCCTCCCCAGACTTCAGGAAAGTCTCTGGAGGCTGCGGAGGGTGAAAAACGGCTCCAACGGGCCAACTGGACCGTTTCCAAACTTCCTATAGCAATTCAGACAGGTGGCTGTCCATTCTCTTCTTAAAAGCCTCCAGTGATGAACACCGACAACTTTTGAAGGCAAGCTGTTTTACAGGTTAATTGTCCTTACTGTTAGGAAGTTTCTCCTTAGTTCTAGGTTGCTTTTCTCCTTCATTAGTTTCCATCCATTGCTTCTTGCCTTGACTTCTGGCTTTGGAAAATAAGTTGACCCCCTCTTCTTTGTGGCAGCTCCTCAAATACTAGAACATCCTAGTCCTTCTTTTCTCTAGATTGGCCATGCCTAATTCCTGCAACTCTTCTTCATATGTGTTTGTTTCCAGGCCTTTAATTATCTTAGTTGCTCTTCATTGCGCTTTCCCCCAAGTCTCAACAAAACAAGGATTAAAGTAAATTTTCCTGCCTAGGTAGGGGGTTGGACTGGAAGACCTCCAAGGTCCCTTCCAACTCTGCTATTGTATTGTATTTTATAATCAGGAAAAAATATAACCTACTGAAAGCTTAAGTGTAGCAGTGCAGAACCTTGCAATATGGAACAATGAGGTATTCTCTACATCAGAGAATGCAAGCTGAGACTGACAAGAACCTCACCTGTGCAAGAAGGAAAGCCATAGAAGCCTGGGGCACAGTGGGTGCACCTTTGACCGACATAATTTGAATGGCAGTTGCATTGACCAATGGAGTTGCAATTGCTGTCCACCGAGCCCCGAAGGTCACACGAACAAGCTGCAAAAGGAAGGCACATAAATACATGCTGGGAAGGCAAATCAAATAATAATGCACATGTTTTGTTTTATGTCTCTAGTTCAGGGGTATACGACTCAAGGCCCAGGGGCCAGATCTGGCCTGCAGGATGCTTAGATCTGGCCCGCGGGACCGCCCTGGAAACATCAAAGGAGTGGCCCACGGTGCCTCCGCCAGCAAAAACGGAACTCGGTTCGGGAGAGTCCTGCAATGGCCTCCTGCAGCTCTCTGCCAGCAGGAAGCTCTGTTTTTGCTGGTAGAGGGCTGCAGGAGGCCGTCACAGCTGTAAACAGAGCCCAGGTGGGCCGTGCGTGGCCTCCCTGAGCTCTGTTTTCACTGACAAAGGGCTGCAGGAAGCAGTTGCGGCTGAAAATGGAGCCTGGGTGGGTTGTTCATGCCCCCCACCCCCACCCCAGCTTCGATTTTGCTGGCAGAGGGTTGCAGGAGGCTGCCTCGGCCAAAAATGAAGCCTTGATGAGTAATGTCAAACTGGACACACCAGGGGTGGGTTCTTTCCAGTTCTAAGTTCTTCTGTAGAAGACGTTCCACAAATCTACGTGCTGTTTAGAACCGGTTCTAGCTCCCTCCCCCCGCACATCCGCACATCATCAAGATGAAGAGCGAGAGGAGGAATTCTGGGAGTTGAAGTCCACAAGTCTTAAAGCTGTCAAGTTTCAAGACCCTTGCACC